CTGGCTGTAGTTTCATATTTACCATAAGGACATGACAGTGGTATCAATCTTCTTATCCAATATCCAGGTAGGAGTCGTCTGTTTAAAATTGATAATTAGCTTTTATTCTAGAGTAAAAGTTAAAGAGTTTTACTTTAATCTTCACTTAAGTCCGAGATTTGACTTTTATCATACGGGGCCTGAACTTAGGGACTCGTCCTGTGAACATTAGATGCTCTTATATAACTGAACACATGATCAACAGGCTTCCACTCACATCAAGTGTATGATCGGCTCCCTCTCCTCCAGGTGCTCCCGGGCCTCCCAGACCGAAGGAGCCTTCGTTCTGCAGCCGGGAATTCTGGGCATTGGTGTTCCGCTGCGGCAGCGGACTGCCGGCGTCACCGAGACTCTGATTACCATGAACGCCTGAACCGTGCTGCTGGAGGATGTTATGGCCGTGTTCGATTCGTCCAGAATGTGGCGCCTGACAGCGACAGACCAGGAAGAGACACAGAGACACAAAAACAATCTTTATTTTATGGTAATAAAAGTGACGGTGGATTCACAGCGGGTGAACGCTATGCAGAGGTCTTTGCTTAAGAGGCACGACAGCAGAAGTGTGTGACAGTAGAGGAGGACGGACACTTTAATCTTTCTCTAAAAACCTTCAGCGGACAGCCGAGCAGCTGCCTGCGACAGGTGGTATGTGGCTCAGTGGCTAGATATGTAAGCGAATATATTCTCAGTCAATGCTGTCTACTTCAGGTTCAGTTAAAGGCTCTTAACTGAACTCACAAGCCAGAAGGAAGAGACAGTCAGTGTTGCATAACAGCAGCACGTCATCGGCCGTGTTTCCACAGCAGGAACTTTCCCCCCGAGACGAGGAACCTTTGGCAGAACTCTGCAGGGACGAGGGGCTAAATAAAGTTTCTGGGACTTTAATTTAACCCCTAAAAAGTCTCTACCTGAGGGCTGTGCTTTCCAAAAAGTACAGGAACCTGCGGGGGTGGGGCTTACAGCGCTGAACATTTCTGATTGGTCGATTGGTACTTGCAGCATTTCATTACAGCCAGCTTTTAAAAAAAATCTGCCAAACCGGTTTGTTTGAAATCATCTGATGTGCTACTGCTGTTCCTCTCTTCGCCAGATTGTTTAGTCGTACAAAAATGATCTGTAACAACAGTTGTTTGTTCATACATCAATGGACCAAAGTTATTATAGTAAACTCAACTCAACTAAAATGAGGTATGAACTGAAACAAAGAGAAAAAAAAACCTGGCTGAAACAATAATGTGTACTTAACTAAATATTATATATAAAAATGATATTATAATATCCTAATTAATTGATTACTAATGAATGAATAAATGAAACTAAAACTATACAAACAATTAACAATGAAGCAAAACCACCAAAACTAACTGGAAACTGGAAACAAAAATTTAAAAACTAATGAGTAATAGAAAACTATAATAACATCTTTGCAGGTCTTTACATTGCAGTGGAAACACAGAACAACAACAGGTTGAAGGAACCTTTAAAGTTCCTTGAAAAGATCTTCCTGGAACTAAAAGTTCTGGGTGGAAACGCAGACGTCTGGTTGAGCATGCAATAAGTGGGCAGGAGATTTGTTTTATTAATAACTTTATCTGTCTCTCTCTTTATGAACCAAACATCTCTTTTGGGACTTATTTAGTGACACTAGTGGAGACACGGCCCCGAGTTTGCAGAGAAAGAACATCTACAACTAAATCTTCAGGCCGCCACACAGCCTCCACGCGACTAAAGCTAACCCCGACCACCTGGAGAATGTCCGCTCTGTCTCGTTAGCGGCCCTCGGTTACCTCCCTCCTCAACACTACTGTAAGAAAATACTGATAAAAATTGTATTGTGATATTTAGTTTTGTAATAATAATAATTGATTTTTGTGTTTAAAACCCTCAAATCTCAGTATGTTGAATCGTAACCTGTACCGTACCGCCACATTCCTGTCAATACTCAGCCCTACCCAGCACCTATTTAAAGACAAATACATAGTTTGATCTTTTAACAAAAGGTTCAGTGATTTCCACAAACAGTGTCGGATTAATCCACATTTAGTGAGTATTTGGGGCAGCGGGACAGTGTTTGTGGGATTGAGCCAAAATAAACTACAATGTGACTCACTCAGGTGTTTTTAATGAAGACAACAATGAAGATACATCAGGCTTTGATACACACACACACACACACACAATACCTGCTAGTAGAACATATAGACTATCCCCAGAGTAGAGTATTAAACAGACCAAAGCGTCCCTTTAAACAGCACCAGCCTCAGTTTGTTGTATAACAGCTCTAACTCTGGGAGGTGTATGTGGAGCCAGCTGATGCCGCAGTGCCTTCTGGCCGTTATATCTATTCATACTCTGACAGTCAATGACAGCCACTCAACCATTACTAAAAACGTCCTGAATACAGAAAAGACACACAGAGGCTGATCCTCGTCACCGTGGCCAGAGGCAGAACATGCTCCTGTTACGTAAGAGAGCGTCTAACCTGCTCAGACTGATAGGGGAGTGGAGGTGGCGGTCCAGAGGAGGCGTACTCTCCGAGCGTCGGGGTGCCAGGGGTGTTGGGGAAGTCGGTGAATCCTGTTTGGTTGGAGAATCCCTGGCTCCCTGCGAGACCAAAATAAAAACATTACTTCCAGTCAGCAAATAAAAAACAGGTCAGCGTAGACTTTGTCTTGCGTAATAGTGAGCAGTGCAGCGTGGAGAGAAACAGCTTCCAGCTATGAGAGGACATATTTGGGGGGGGGGGATGGGGACACTGAGATTGTACTCACTGGTCTTTGCTCTGCTGCTTGAAATATTGTTCTGGGTCACCTCCCATCTAAGAGCAGATGATGTGTTTGACTGATCTAGAAAGTGTGATTGTGTACAGTATGTGTACACACATAATATACAGTAGCAGTCAAAGGTACACATGCCTTACACCAGAATCATCTTCTACACCTCCTGGAGACTAAATGCTCAGCTGGAAACAATTTAAAGACTTACTCTGTTACACACATTTGACCCACAGTTAGTCACATGGACAATACAGACTTAGTTTTTAATTATTGGTTTTATTTACTTTATATTTTCTGTCAACTTTAATTTTTACATTACACATTAGACATTTTTATTTTTGAGTTTTTGAGTTTCTGTGTTTCAGTTTTGCTTTGTGAAGCACTTTGGGCTGCACGTTTGTATGAAATGTGCTTTATAAATAGACTAAATGTTAATCACCAGAGCGGCGCTTACTTAGCAGCTTTTCAGTAACAGTCCACATACTGCAGAGAGGAAGGTGGTCGTGGTTATTTGTGCTTTAGAAAGTAAACACTTTGATTTATTTGATTCACTGCTTTGTTCTCGTTAACGCTGCTCCCTCTCTGCAGTCAATACTCCTTTAACTTCACAATAAAAGTCCCCTTTTATTTTGTTATTCAAAAGTTTTTATAAACGAAGCAACAAAATCAGAAAGCGTTGAGTTTTCATCAGCAGTAACTTAAATTATAAACAGGAAACAGGAAACAGGAAACAGGAAACAATCAAATAAAGCAGCCGGCCAAAAGGGCCAAAGGCAAAATAACTTTCTGGCGGACAACGGCGTGAAGAAAATGAAGATGATGTCCGTGATAACGTAATGAAATGTTGTGACTATAAGTTTAAAGTGGGACAAAGATGACATTGCCCAGCTATTGGCGGCTGGCTAACAGCTAACTGGCATTGTACATGAATAAAATATTAGAATTAGTTTAACTAAGTAGTATTTTTTGCTGTCGACTCGTCGACTAACAATCTCTACTTAAAACCTCTGAAAGGAAACTGTATATTTTATGTTATTTTCATAATTTATGTGCACTGAGCTCAATGTCTCCACTCCTCAGTATTATTATTTATATTATTACGTATTATTTATTATATTATGTCAGTTACTGGGATCCACAGACGTCTACAAATTACTTGTTTTGTCTGACCAACAGTTTAAAAGCCTTCACGTACTGAAATCTACTGAATACTGAGGCGACATAAAAAAGGTTTTATGAAGCAGGAAATGTCACAAACGTTCACCTCCTCATGTATTTATTTTTATTTCGATTTAGAATAAAAATAAGTTAATGTTCTTGTACGAGAGTCAATATTTTGCTACTTCTACCTTTTCTGAACTTAGAAAATATGTTAATTCTGATTTTAAATGAAATCTTGGCATCTTATTTTTAACTGAAACTGCAAATCAAGAGGAAGAATGACTCATAAATCCCCAGCAGCTGGAGTTTATATGTGAACCTTCCCTCCACTAACTCACACACAGCTTCCCTCCTCCATCTCGACTCTACCTGGCCGGTTGTAGTCGGGGGTGTTCCTGCCCCCTGCAGTCAGACTCTGGTAGGGGGACGATGCCGGGCCCAGAGCGGCGATCATCTCCATCACGTTGGGCAGGACCATGTGGCTCGGGCTGACAGTTCGACAGCGTTTCAGGACGGGACCGTCGGGCTCCTCCTTTATGTGCAGGTCTGGTTTGACGGGCACCGGCCTCCAGCCACACACCGGGTCTATGGTGATCTCCTCGTAGTCCGAACTGAGGACGGAGGGCACAGATGGGTTTTAATCACATCAAAAAAAGTTTACTGAGATATTTCTACTGGCAAAAGGGTACATGTGAATTCTAGACCAATCTAGATTTATGAATCAAAGAGACCTGAACATGCTGAACTGTTTGGGGTTAAAAGGGTGTAAAAGATGTGCATTAAAGTCATCCACATGTTTATGAAGTTTTAATATTAAAGATAATATGAGATTTAAAATGATAATATAGCAGAAAACAACTATTATCTATGTTAGTAGAGTCGTGGTGTTACTGCTGTTTTTATCATCTAAATTAAGGATTTATTTCCACCAAAACACTAACAGAGACGGTTTTAGTATGTTTTATTTAGTCTCTGTCCACTTTGAATGAAGTTACGATGATCTGTGAGGTAAAATTTGTGTTTTTGTGAATAGAGTCTGGTGGGTGCTGGTGTCCATTTGCTCTAGTGCGACATCTAGTGGCGGTGAATTTCCTATCTATAAAACCTTTTAACAAAGAATGAAATGTCTCTGTATATTATTTGATCAAACACTTACTTTTGGATGTAGACGAGGATCCCGAGCATGTACTGGTCCACCTCCAGCCCCTCTAGCAAAGCGGTTTTACTGTGACGGACAGGAACAAACTGCTGGTTACATTTCATACTGAGAGGATCTGGTTTTAAAAAAAAAAGGTGCAACGAGATCTTGGTAGAACTTACTTGCACACAGGACATCTCCAGGTGCCTCTTTCACAATTGAGCTGCAAATAGGACTCCAGGTCGAAACACTACAAAATAAAAGACATCAGTGTGAGAGGATCCATCTGCATGCACAGTATATGTGTGTGTGTGTGT